TGTCTGCAGGTAGGAGCTCTATTATCCCTAAGGTCCCGCTCAAATCCTACTATCTTCTCCAGGAAATCTTCCCTATTTCTTCTCTCTCCTTTCTACAACACCCTGTGTTTCAACCATAACACTTAGCACAGGTTTTCCTTGAAATATTGACAGTTATGAATTCATGTGCTCTCACCGAATCTTCCCCAACTCCGCCCTCTTCCATCCACTTCATTTCCTGAGCCAAACCTACCTGAGGCAGGAAGTACTGGAGTTGTCCCAACAGGTCATTTGATTCACCTTAGTGTTACCATGGCATTATTAACTTCAGGACCAAGTTCCCAAGTTACACAATCCCTCTTCTCCTTTTCCTTTGGCTCACTGTCACCCTGTTCTTATAACCTGAGTCTCTGAGGCCAGTTCTACCCCCACTGCTACCCTCCCTGCCTAGGGTTGCCAGGAAGAAAACAGAAGATGAGTAACCTTTCAGTACCGGTATATTCTATGCATTATTTGGGAAATACTAAAACCTACTTGCTATCAATCTGAAAATTCGAGTTTAGCAGGACATTTGGTATTTCTCCTTGCTAAAGATGCCAAACTTTATCACTCCCCTATCTCATGATCAAGTCACCTGGAAACGGTGGCTGTGTCCTGTTCTTACCTGTACACTTTCTGGAGGTCTATAGCTCTGTCCCTGAAGCTCAGGACTCCAATCCAGAGGCCAGGGCCCTTCTTGTCACATTGCAATTGCTTGTCTGACTGGATTGCCTAGTGCCACTCATTCTGCCCTCTGGTATAAATTTCTGCTGGCAGCCCCACTCCGAGCTCAGCCAGCTCAGTGGGGCAGGTCTGGTGCCAGCCTGCCCTTTGGGCTGAATGATGGCCTGTCCCATCTTGCCTCCAGAAAACCCTATGCCTTGCTGACAGCTGCCACCGGAATGTCTAGCTATTTCCCACAAGACTGTGACTCCCCAAAGGGCAGGGGTTATTATTCAATGCAACCTATTCCCATGACGTTTTATGTTGGTGCTTAATAGATGGCTGAAAACCTAAAAATGAAAGACGGTGTTTACGGATTGAATTCTGTTTGTGCCCCTCCTCGCTCCTGCAATGTCCAGATACATGCTGAAGTCCTAACCCAGTTCCTCAGAATGTGATCTGATTTGGAATTAAGGCTGTTGCAGATGGAATTATTCAGATTCAGATGAGTTCATATTGGGGTGGGGTGGGTCCTTAATCCAATAGGACAGGTATCCCTGTAAGAAGAGGAGACACAGGGATCTCTGGGTGGTTCAGCAGTTTAGTGCCTGCCTTTGGCTCAGGGCGTGATCCTGGACTCTCAGGATCGAGTCCCATATTGGGCTCCCTGCATGTCTGCCCATGTCTCTGCCTCTTTCTCTCTCTCTCTCTCTCTCTGTGTCTCTCATGAATAAATAAATAAAATCTTTAAAAAAAAAAAAAAAAAGAAGAGGAGACACAGCAGGGAGGATGCCAGATGAAGACAGGCAGAGATTATAGCCACAAGACAAGGAACACCTAGGGCCACCAGAAGCCAGGAAGAGGCAAAGTGGTCCTCCCCTACAGGCTTCGGAGGGAACAAGGCCACACCAACAACTGAATCAAGACTTCCAACCTTCCAGACCTGTGAGATAAGGCATTTTTACTATTTTGTGGTACTTTGTTCTAGCAGCCCTGAACGATAACCCCAAGATTGCATTAGGGAGGAACTGACAACAAAATAAAAACAAGAAAAATAAGGGCCCAGAGAGATCAAGGAGTATACAGGGGTCAAACAGAAGGGGGCGAGTATGAGACAATACAACCATAGCTAACTTCTTGAAGTCCTGCCCCCATGTTTTCCCAAAAAGAAAGAAAATAACATGTCCCTTTTAAAGTCCAAGCTGGGGGCACCTGGGTGGCTCAGTGGTTGAGCATCTGCCTTTGGCTCAGGTTGTGATTCCCGAGGACCTGGGATCGAGTCCTACATCAGGCTCCCCACAGGGAGTCTGCTTCTCCCTCTGCCTCTGTCTCTGCCTCTGTGTGTGTGTCTCTCACGAAAAAAAAAAAAAAGTTGGAAGTCCGAGCTGTGTCATTAGAACTAAGGGAGGCTAGATGGAAGGAAAGGCCACGACCCCTGAGAAATCCTCTGTGGCTTGCACAGAGAGGGGTACAGGAGACCAAGTTCAATGTAATGTGGAGGCTGGCCAGAAAGCCTTCCACAGGAGGGCTGCCTTAGGAGGTGCGTTCCATGGGGATGGCTTTGTCAGGAGCTGTGGTTTTCATTCTGTGGCGTTCTGTTTTCAGAACTTCAGTACTATAATACATATTCTTAAAAAATGAACACCATGTCAAATGTTTTTCAGACTTCATTCTCTGTTAATCACCCCCACATTTCATGGTACAGTCATTGGCTTGTGGGGAATAAGTGCCACCAGTTTTGGGTCAAGTCAAGGTGACCTAATTCTAAGGCTCACTGGGCAAATAACTGTCTTTGCAAACTTATAGGGACATGAATTCTCTTGTCCCTGTAACTATCGATTACATTTCAAATGAGAAGTCCATATACAAGCTTTCGGAGAAGCAGGAATTAGGGATAACATCAGATATCAATCAAATCAAATCATATCCTAGACAATTAGCGCCATCCAGTCTAATAACTGGAGCCCAGTCTGCGTTGAAGGGCATCAAGATATATTCCCATTTATTTGCCCACAGAACTTGCATTGTAATGACAGCAGCTTCCAGCATTGCACAATAAATAATAGCAATGAACATTTTTACTGAGCATTTACCATGCACCAAGGACTAGGGTAAAATTTCATGTGGATTACTTAATATAATCTTCACATCACCCTTATGAGATAGTTACTACATTTTCCCCACTTATGGATGATGAAGTAGAGGTTTAAAGGGAGGTAATTTGCACCACTGTTAATAGAAGCAGGATTCAAAAGATACCAAAGTGTTTCTCTTGGAGACTGTGCAATTGCTAGAAGCCATGGAACTGGGGAGAGCATTGCCTGCTCTGTACAGGCAGCATGCTGGAGCTGTGTACGTCGAGGGTCGGCAAACTGTAGCCTGCTGCCTACAGAAATTCCACCAGGCCAATATCTCTACCTGTTGTCTCTGGCTGCTTTTGCAGTGACAGAAGCTGGCCCACAAAAGCAGAAAATATTTACTATGTGGCCCTTTACAGAAAAAGGCTTTTTTTTTTTTTTTAAAGTAGGCCACAATGTGGGGCTCAGACTCGCAACCCTGAAATCAAGACCTGAGTTGAGATCAAGAGTCAGGATGCTTAACTGACTGAGCCAGGAGTCAGGTGCCTCCAGAAAAAAATCTTCTGATTTCCGTGTTAGATCATCGATTCCTCCTACTAATGGCTCTGTGAAGAAGGGTTTATTTAAACTTTAGAGATGAAGAAACTGGTTCGAGAACTTAAGCTGCTTACTTCCAAAATGTAAAATTTGTATTTTGCCATAGAATTGCCTTTTCTTTCCAAAGTTATGGACATTAGGGAGGAAATGCTATATGTATTCCTCTCATTTCATAAAAGACATTTTAATACACAAGATTGAGGGTTGTAATTTGTTCTCCTTAAAGGAAACTGTAAATGAAACAAATTTAATTTTATGCACAGTTTTGAACCCTCTTCCTATTTTCCTCATTTTGCAAAGGACAGGTGAGAACATGGTCACGGACCAGCACAAGTTCAAGAACTGGCAACTGGAGGTCCCTTGCTTAAGGACTTTGGGTAGTAAGTGGCAGAGCTAGAGCCAGAGGACACTGAGGCCTATTTGACTCTAAAGCCAGTGACCCTTCCACTCTATCTGTTGAGATGATCTGTCTTTGCCTTGTGCATTCCTTCTGCCATTCAAGGACTCTTTATTGAGCATCCACTATGTGCAGAGTACCAGACTCCTGCCAAGGACATGACAAATCATTTTCCTCCATTTCTGTCTCACCTCCTCTCCTTCCTGTGGCTGTTTTGATTAAGACTCAAAACTCAGCTCTCATTACAACTCAAGTAACTAGGGCAGTCCCGATGACCCAGCGGTTTGGCACCGCCTTCAGCCCAGAGTATGATCCTGGGGACCCGGGATCAAGTCCCACATCACGCTCCCTGCATGGAGCCTGCTTCTCCTTCTGCCTGCGTCTCTGCCTCCCTCTCTCTCTGTGTCTCTCATGAATAAATAAATAAAATCTTAAAAAAAAAAACCTCAAGTAACCATTTCCTTGTTATGGCAACTTGATCTGTTGGCCGTTGAGGAAAATGATCCACATGAAAATACCACAATGCAATGATACTCTGGGGTCCCATTTTTTAGTGTTAAGTGTTGACTCTAGAGGCCCTTAGGATAGGAAGAAATTAAATGATTGTCATCAAGTCACCAAGACAGTCCAATCCAGAGCTCAGAGGAAAATAATTTGAATGAAGGTCGTGTGGCTGGCTCAGTCAATACAGCATGCAACTCTGTATCCCAGGATTGTGAGTTCAAGCCCCACTTTGGGTGTAGAGATTACTTAAATTAAAAAAAAAAAAAAAAAAAATATATATATATATATATATATATGTATGTATATATATGTTTTAATCTGAATGAATGTCTTTCTAGTTACAAGGTTTCCCAATAAGTGATCAGGTCACAGCCTGTACGTATAAGCCCTGCCTTCCATCAGTAGCTGCTATCGTCACTTTAATATCACATTTCTAGAAACTGTTCTATTACAGTGAACTATCACAAGTAGAGCAGTCAAGCTATTTAAAAATACAAGCAAAAGTTAATTATGTAAAGTGACTATCAAGGCATTTTAAATTAACATTCATATTCTTGAACAAATGAGAACATGCCAGTTAGTGCATTATATATAACTATATAATAGCCTACATTTAAATATTTCTGATTCTGAATTATTCCTCTATTTTTTTATTACATGGATAAGATGAGAAGTACATGGGAAGTTCCAATTACTGCACTGATCTTAAGTTGAATATTTAAAAATGATTAAATGAAACTTACTGTGTATTCTGGTCCCAGATGTTCATTTGGACAAGAGAGAAAAGAAAAAAGAGACAAAATGATGATTTAGACCATGCTTATATGCAATATAAAAACCACAGAACTGACAAAGACTGGTGAATCGTATTAAAAATATGCTAACAAAACATTTCAAAAACTGAACTTTCATCAATATCTCCATATTTGCTCTTGAAAATCTTTCAGATGATACTCCTGTGGTTGGCCAGATAAGGACTGTAAGACAAGATTCAATTAGCCTATATGTTTGTGGCTAATTAAAAACCAAAGAGTCGGCATTATAAAAGCAGAATTAAAGACTAATAATTCCAGTGGAGTATTTCATTAACCACAAAGGAAATCTTTTAAGTGGAAAAGCAGCTTTCAAAACCAATAAGAAGAGTTTGTTATGATAATATTCAAGTGGGAGCTTGAATTTTCATGTTTGAGGGCAAAAACCAAACCATCCAGATTTGAGGGCCCAAGTTTCTACATCAGTCTCAGCACAGAGTTTGTCATCATTCCACCACAAGTGAGAGGGAATGTGATTTTAAAATTATATTATCCAACTGCAAAGGAAGCAGTTTGGGGCAGAGCGACCCAATAGAAACTTTTACATAGGGGATCCCTGGGTGGCTCAGCGGTTTAGCGCCTGCCTTTGGCCCAAGGCGCGATCCTGTAGTCCCAGGATCGAGTCCCGCATTGGGCTCCCGGCATGGAGCCTGCTTCTCCCTCCTCCTGTGTCTCTGCCTCTCCCTCTCCCTCTCTCTCTCTCTATGTCCATCATAAATAAATAAATAAATCTTAAAAAAAAAACTTTTACATAAATTATAGTCAAGGTTTGGGGGTGGGGTGGGGCTCTTAGGAGGAGGGGCTGTAAAATAAATCAAAATAAACCACATCCCAAAATTACTTGGGGACTACTGAAGAAACGGGAAGAATAAGGATAACAAAAACTCTAGATGTATCAGTAAAAGGAGTTTCACCTTCCTTCTCCATAAAGCTATTTATCACAATCACTTTAAAAAGGAAGATGGAATGGTTTATCTTAATTTCCTACCAGCCACCAACACCCAGAACCCCCACCCCCCTACCCCCACTGCTAGGAAGAAGACTGACCTAAAAGGATGAAGGCTCCAGGTAAGGGGGCAAATACTACAGGGCTCTCCCAAGTCCCTGCTTGGATAACAAACCCTAAATCAGTGAAATCTGACCACCACTATGTCCTATCCCTACATGTGACATACCGGCTATAAAAAGGACTTACCTGTAATCGTGTACGGATAATAGTTCCAAGCCTTTTCTGTAACATAAAAGATTTTGGGAACAACAGCTCTAGCCCAGCTAGGCAGTTTGCTAAGAGGGAAGAGAGAGAGAGAGAGAAAAAGACCATTAGAAAAAGCCTGCCCAGAGCCTCACATGCTCCCCATACCTTTCTGGATAAACTGCTGGAGAAAGCAGAGGCGCCCTTCGCTCTCCAGGCCATCCCTTCCCCATCCCTCTGGTCTTTGCCAGAGTTCACCATTCTCTGTGCATATTTCATATGCTCTTAAAATGTGGGAGGGCAGGTGCCTGGTGTGTGTGTGTGTGGGGGGTGCTGGGGGGCTCATGGGGTTGTTAACCTCTCCTCTTTGATTTGATTTACAAGGACATGAGATTTCAGCACCTGGCAAGTGCCCCGTTGGGAGGGTTTGGCCAGCCTGGCCTTGGTCTCTTAAGAGTCATATGGCAGAAGGGGTAGGATGGGACGTTCAAACCCAAATACGGAGGGCGGTAGGTGCTGGGGCAAATGTTAGAGCCAGGCCTCAGCTTAACAATCCGTGAGAGTGAGAGGTTTTAAAAATGAGCTAAAGCAACAGACAGTAGCAACAGAAGAGATGTGAACAGTAGAGATGTGAAGATGTGTTGTAGAGATGTGAAGAATAACAAAATAGAGCCGCTTGATGACTGTGGTCGGTGGACTTGGATGCCCCACCAAAGATCTAACCCTCACCCTAATCCTAACCCCCAGCACCTGCAAATCTAACCTTATTTGAAGGCAGGACTTGTGTAGATGTAATTAAGGACCTCTAGGTGGAATCCTCTTGGATTTAGGGTAAGGCCCTCACTCCAGGGACTGGTGTCCTCATGAGAGAGGAAGATCTGGAGACAGGTACCCACAGGGCGGGGGATGCCAGTGAAGACAGAGGCAGAGACTGTAGTGACGCAGCCAACAAGCCAAGGAGCGCCAAGGATTGCCACCGACACCAGACGCTGCAAGGGGCTGGGAGGGAGGCGTGGGACAGCTTCGTGCCGGGAGCCCCCCCACCAAGAGCCAACACTGCCTACACCTTGATTTCAGACTCTGGCCTCCAGAACGGAGAGAGGACGAATCTGTGTGGTTTTAAGCCACCCAGCTGGGGGGATTTGTTGGGACAGCCACTGGAAAATAATGCAGTGGCAGAGCCATTCCCTGGAGCAAGAACCCGGGCAGCCATTCGCAGAAAACAAATTCTTAAAACAAAGGAAACCCAGGGGCACAGGTCTCAAGACCCTTGGTAAACCGAAGATTAATGAAGTTTTGTTTTATTTTGTTTTGTTTTCCTTCGGAGGCACACACTACAGCATAGTGCAGGCCCAGAGAATTCTTTAACTGTGACATTTACATAAATAGGATCATATTTTCCTTAAATATGTCTGCATGACTTTATCATTCCCCTCACCCCCACCCCAGCGCTATGCCTCGTGGGGAGGGGAGTGTTGTGTCTTTCCAGAGACTTCTATTATGGTTCTTTGCTCTTTCTGGTGCCCAGTGCGACATCAGCCCCTCCACGGGGCACACCACGGGGCAGTTGCGAGTTCCAAGCCCATGCAAAGCAGGAACCGGCGACATCAAGCTACTGAGACCCCAAATCCCCAACCCCTCTTAGGACGTGGAACTTAAATGACAACCGGGGCCAGAAAGATACCGTGCATCTTTTACGTCTTCTCAGATTGTTTCTCTTATTTCTGACAGTGTCCAGGACCTGCTTTTAAAAAAGACAAATCTGGGATCCCTGGGTGGCGCAGCGGTTTAGCGCCTGCCTTTGGCCCAGGGCGTGATCCTGGAGACCCGGGATCGAATCCCACGTCGGGCTCCCGGTGCATGGAGCCTGCTTCTCCCTCTGCCTGTGTCTCTGCCTCTCTCTATATATATATCATAAATAAATAAAAATTAAAAAAAAAATCTTTAAAAAAGACAAATCTGTATTTTCGAGGGCTGGCCGGACCTAACCCAAAGCTCTGGGCCCTTTATCAGGGTTAAGTGAAAGGGGGACTCACAGCTCCCCCGAAGCCGAAGCCGGCTGAGTGTCAAATGAGGCCAAGGCCCTCTCTCCCCTGCAGGCTGGGCTGGGGCCTCCGGGTTGGGGCGGTTTTATGCAGGTTTTATAATCCGCAGCACAATTCTCGAAGCTCTAATGCAGAACGTTACCCTCTTAGGAAATCATCTCGGCGGGATCTGCTCATTTACTTTACGTTCATACCGCTCGAAAGGAAGGGGCTGCCTCCTGACAGGGGTTTTTATAGCTTTTACCTTTGATTTATTCCTTCTGTCGCTGGAGGTGGGGAGCAACCAGGGTTGACGTCTAGAGTGGGAACATCGCATGGGGCTTGCTTGAGGGAACAGGCCCAGCGCATGTCCCCCCGGGGTTCCCTCCTCTTTGCCCCCAGGCCCAGAGACGTATGCCAATGCCTGCCAGCGGGTGGGGCAGGAAGACGGGCCTTCTACACAAGCACAGGCAAGTGGTTTCCTTGTGCTTTTAAAGGACTGTAACCAGAATTATGGAATCTCCCCCCAAAGAAACCTCAGCATTGTTTAGCTTAGACAAAGGGCACATGTCTCCCTCCAGGCAGCAGGGCCCATCCTCCCCTGTCCCCCTGGGGGAAGGACTGCCCACCTCCCCACGACACCCCTCCCAGATGCATTAGGCTCCTCAAGCACAGCGCCCTCCCTCCATAAATCACTCCCTTTATCACTTAAAAAGCCTCCCAGCAGAACCACATTCCTAAGCAACGACCATTTTTCTGGAAGGAGGATGAAAAACAGTGGCAATTTGCCATTCATGTCGAGACTTTTTTTTCCTATTTGCACACGGTCAGGACCCCAGCCTCTAGAATCTTCATTCTACGTGTCTCATCCACCAACTCCCGCAGGATATACTGTGCTAGAGTCAATTACCTTCTCCAAAGAGGCACCCTAAAAAAACACATTTAGCCAAGATGGCTGATAGCATTTTATGTGACTCTTCTGATGAGTCCGGGAAGGAGACCCTCCTGGCATAAGCCATCTTCCAGGCCAGGCTCAGGAGGCATCAGCGACGAGTTCCATGACATGATGGTCAAATATTTTAAGCCCCATTAACAGATCTTCTCTCAGCCCCGACTCTCCCCAGAGCACATCATTATTCAAATCGTTTTTGTCTGAGGAAGTAAAATTTATTTTTCCCTGTGGCAATGATTTATCAGGGCTGCAGAGGAAAATGGAATTAAATTAGTCCCTGCCGCTGCTGTCACTTTCATGATGTACACTGTCACACAGCCTACGATTCTAAGGAGAAGTCTGTCACTCAAACTCACTACCCGGTGTCAAAAAGAGTCTCTTCTAGAATAGCGGCACGGTCTGAATCATGTCCGCTTGGTCCACTGGCCGGGACCAGACCTTCCTATGGCCCCTGTCACCATGGCTCAGACTTCAGAAACACTGAGGGAAAAGAGGACACAACTCTGAAGACTTGAGGCGCCTGGGCGGCTCAGGTGATTGGGCATCTGCCCTGGGCTCAGGTCATGATCTCAGGGTGCTGGGATCAAGTCCCATGTTGGGCTCCCAGTTCAGTGAGGAGTCTGCTTCTCCTTCTACCTCTCCCTGCTGCTCTTGCTTTCTCACTCTCTCTCTCTCTCAAATAAATAGAATCTTAAAAACAAAATGAAACAAAAAACTCTGAACCTTTACAGAATTGGAAATTCTGATGTGGAAGGATACCATTTCCCAAACACCTTTGTCAATAGCCCCTGAAGACAGACTTTTCAAAAACATTTGGTTTTTCACTTAAAAATTTTTAGTAGGGTATAGAACACATCGATGACACAGCGGGTGACCAGCTCATCCCAGTCTACATGAGACTGTCCTGCTTTTAGCACTGAAAGTCCTCCATGCTAAAATTCCTCAGGCCAGGGGCAGCCCGGGTGACTCAGCGGTTTAGTGCCTCCTTCAGCCCAGGGCCTGATCCTGAAGACCTAGGATCGAGTCCCACGTCAGGTTCCCTGCATGGAGCCTGCTTCTTCCAATGCCTGTGTCTTTGCCTCGCTCTCTCTCTCTCTCTCTCTCTCTCTCTCTCTCATGAATAAATAAATAAAAATAAAAAAAAAAATAAAATTCCTCAGGCCAGGGCAAACTAGTATGGTGGTCAACCCAGAGCAGTGGTTCTCAATGGGGCAGAGGGGGAATTTTGCATACACCCCCAGGGGTGGGGGGACATTTGGCCAAGTCTGGAAACATTTTTGTTTGTCACAACTGGGAGGTAGGGGGGACAGGGGCAGGCATCTAGTGGGTAGAGGCCAGGGATGTTGTTCCAATATCCTACAAGGCTCAGGGAAACCCCACAGCAAAGAATTATCTGGTTCCAAATATTAACAGTGCCAAGATTGGGAAACCCGGCCCTGGACCTAAGTGGATACAGTCACTGAAACCTCCTCATGTATTCCCTGGGTCTCCCTAAATTACAACTGACCTGGATAAGGAGGCCCCATTATGCAGGCATAATCTGATCTCAGGTTAAGAGTGTTTATTTACTTCATAAAGAGCTTCCAGAATGGAAACCTAAACAGTCCCTCCATTAGAAGCTTCTGGCGCTTTACAAGCCAGATTATCACCAGATTCACCCCGATATCTAATCTCTCTTTGCAATTTATGCTCATTTGGGAATATTCTTTGACCCCAGGAGGCACTGAACATCATTAGGCCAAATGTGGTCTAAATGGAGTCTAATTTCATTTTCCCAACAGGGATCAGAATTATGATGGTCTTCAGAAGAATCTTTTTTGAGCTGTTTTATCCACCAACTCATTCAGGATACGCAGCACTATAATCAATCACCTTTTGGACTTAAAACATTCCCAGCAGAAAGACAGCCCCTCTGAGTTCCCTGCACTCGGGCTTTTCTCCTCCGCGGGGCCCCTGAAACCTGCTGCTGCCTGTGCTGAGAATTATGCTCAAATAACCTCAGCCCACATCCGTGACTTTTAAAAAGGACTAAGCTACCTTTTATAACCTCATTTTCCACTGGTCCAGGAGGGATATTCTGACCTTTTGTTTCAAACTTGGCATTTGACAATTATCT